TTTATGATCTTAGCCCATATACATTTTTATAGAAATATAAAAACTAATAGCCCTGATTGTTTTTATTGAAACAATATAGGAATAGCTGAGGACAGTAAAAAAATTTTAGTGCTTTTAACTTTTGATTAAAAGCAAATTTAACCGGCATTTAGTTTTTATCCTAGTTATCCACAGCCTCCTCCCCCCAATCCTGACTCCTATGTTAGTAGCTCTTTCTGTGTGTTCTCATTTCATCGCCACCTAGTGGGAAACCCAGCTGCTGTTAATATGGTCTGTAATGCAGTAGGCTGGGTTCTATCTCCCCAAAATTATTTTTTTTATTATTATTTTGACACTCAGCATTCAAAAATATGTCGATCAAGTCAAGTTTTATAAAAAGTATCTCTTATGGATATGTGTAGATAAGATTACCATTTCTTTTTATTAATTTAACACTTTCAAGTGAAAGAGAATTTGTAAAACGTGTACTTGCCAAAATAAGTTAATAAGCAAACCTAACAGTTTATGCATAGTAGATAACATATATCCCTTAAATCACTAAAAACATAACTTTTCTGCAATATTTCTCAAATGCCAGAAATCACATTAATCATAACCTCCTAATTTATTTTTTCCATATTATAATTCATGAGACTTTGATTGTTTTTACATTTAGAAGTTAGTGTGATTCAATTCTATGGAATAGAGAAAAGGCAAAACCACCAAAGGTTTTGCCAGCTCTCACATTTTCTCTAAATCTAATGAAGATAAACATAGAGCAACGCGTTTGAAAATATATTTTTAAAAGCATTAAACCTGTCTGATTAATCATGTTCCATGTTGGTTTATTTGTAATATGCACAAGTACAAAGAAGAATGGCTTAAATAATATATTTGTATAGCCACATAAACTTTTATCTTCCCTCAAACAAGTCCAAACTCCCAGTGTACATCTCTGAAAAGGGAGAAAGGCCAACTTTGTTTTCTAATAGAGCTGTACCAAATAACTCTCCTAGGCAATCATGCTGACAACAAACAATAAAGAACCTGTCGTAAAATAACATGTTTTTATGGTATGCTGCCAGGAAACAAAGCTTTGCAGTGGGATAAATGGCACCATCCTAAAATATTGGCACAAAGGAGAATAGAAAATATGGGATTTATTGCTTTAAAATCAAACTAACAATGTATTACAGCAGTGCATCGGGAAAAAATATAAAATGCTCTGAGCCCACTAAATAACCACGAATGATGAGAAGGTATTTGAGTTGTAGACCACGTGAACAGGTATAGTGCAAGCCTTATGGAAACCTTTGGAAATTTGCTTCCCTTTTCCATTTAAAAAAGGAAAAGGGACCAAAGATAGGATAAGCAGGGGGAAAATTACAAACTTCTTATAATATAAGTGAGTCTTTTAGCATTAGTGATCCATCAAAGGTTGTTTTCAATTGCATTTTTTATTATGCAGTTGCTGGGGCTACCTTTTGACATCTGACAGTATCTGTAGAAGGGACATTTTGCTCTTGATTGATTTATCAAAGAAAACCAAGGGTTGGCCCTCAAAAAAAGTATTCAATTAATGTAGAGTATCAGGGATTAGAATGAATCCAATTGCATGAAGAAAATTGAAAAATACACTGTTATCTATTGTTTTCATGCAATCTTTTCATGCTATTTCATTTTAATTTACAATTTTTTTACATGATAATACTGAATATTTTCTGTCTTCAAATTGAGAGAAGGATGACCTATTGGTACAGTTCTTATACCTCTTAGAATACATGCATATCACTATCCACCACTCTCTAACATCTCAAAGGAACAGGTAATCATTATTGATCTTCGATAATTGTCAGCAACTTCAGATTTCAGCCAAATTGATGAGAAGTCCAAGATAACAGGCCATACAATAAAAACAAGGGTCTAGGGACAACTCATGGACACGTGGGCTTTGTCTGTGGACTTGTATGAGCATTTGACTCTCTTCAGTTCTGAAAAGTGAGGAATAGTGTGGGAAGACTAATGGCTTGAAAAGAAAAGAATTGATACATGTAGGAATTTCCAAATGAGAGTCCCTTTGCCTGGAACAGTGGACCTTCTCTTCTCCTGGATAACTTATTCATCCCCAGGATTCTTCTCAGACACCATACCCTTCAGGAAACATCCTTGACCCCACTTTGCCCTGATCTTGGTGAGGAGCTTTTTCTGTGTGCTTCCTGGCACACAGTACTTGTGGCTGTCATGGTCCTTATCATGTTATATTGTGATTGTTTACTTATCTCAGCTCCTCATTCTCCATGCACTGAAGAAGACAAAGCCTGTGATGTATCTGACTTTGTATACCCAGTATATTTGCACCCAGTGAAAGTCTTCTAAATGAACAAACAAGTAGGATTAATGTCTAAGGACATGTTTTATGTTCCTTCTTTTTATTTTTTAAATATTTATGTTATTTTTCCTGCCAAGTAAATTCTGAAGACAAATCACAAATGCCTTCCAAAGTAAGACTAATGATGTGCTTTATAAGGAAGCATGAGTGGCTGCACATATTTTTCCTTTTCTCAAAAGAAAACTAGTTGGCATGGCAGAAAATAAGGTAAATTAGAAATTTTGTGCCTAATCCTGCTTCTTACAAACCAAGATACCTGCTCGAGGTAACTTCTTCAGCTGAGAAATGAGAATAATACTATCTGTACTTGCTAACTTATAAAGTTGTTACCAGGATCAAACAAGTTAATGGGAACCGAAGCATTTTGAGAACTTTAAATTTGTATAATAAGGGTATTAGGATGATTTTTAATAAGCACAAGTGGGCTTTTCTTACATAGCTTTCTAATTCTTTGTCTTATACAGGGTGAAGGTTGAGGAACACATTTTGGTGAGAAGTTTGTTTGACACTGTCACTTCTAGTCCTTGAATGTAGGTAGGAATTTTTTGGCCTATAACCTTGATCTAGTTTAGTTATTATTGTCACTACCATCACCACCAACACCAACATCATCCAATATGGAACTTTAATGGGCTGTTAGGCCCAAGTCTCCTTTGTGTTTCCTGGTAGGGGGAGTCAGAATTCAGAATTCTGAAGAAACAAATCTGTACATGCCTATTTCAAATTCTTTTTAACATTGGCTACAGCATACTGACTTAGAAAAGCTCCTTCGTGGACCAAAAGCATAAGGTAAAACCAGCTGCCAGGTTTCTAGTTGCATTCCTGCACATGGCAGCATAAAACAGAAGATAATTTCTACTAACTGGTCTCCAATGTGATGTGAGACTAGACTTGGCAGAAAACCTACACTCAGCCATGACATTGGCAAGACTATAATGTAGTGAAGTAATATGGAGATTTTACTGCCCTGGCAATCAGACAATTTAATAGCATCTGAGCACCCAGAATTCAGAACTTTAAACACTTAAAATATTTTTTAAAGCCAAAAAATCAATAAATGAATTTTTAAATACTTGATTGATATTCATAACAGTGAGGAAATAAACTAAAGTATCTTCCCCCTCGCCTATGATCCAGAAATGACCCAGCTATTGCAGAAGTTCAGTGTTATCTAAAAACCTTTCCAGTATCATTGCAAAGATCTTGCAGCACAAAATTTCAAAATGGCATAACAGTGGTCCCATCGACTTTCTAACCCAGCCACTTGAGGTGTGATAACTCATTAAATGAAGAAATACTTTCTCAAGAGTCTACAAGCCAGAGTGGTAGCGTGACAGTTATAAATTGTTTCCTGTCCATCACAGAATATAAAAATTTCACACTACCCTTCACACTAATCACAGTTCTTCCCTTGAAACCAAGTTATTTGAACAATTCCATTACGGAAATCCCTGTCCCTGATAACCTTTTTTCTTTGGAGAAGTACACAGAAACAATTCAAAATCATTGTATCACCCCTGCTACACTCCATGATATGGGGCTTGTGACTAGAATGTAACAGCTCCATACCACTATGACGGGGTTGGGGGGGAGGTGTTGACATCCATGGTTTATTTATTGAGCTCGATCTTTAGTTTCCCCAAGGAGACACTTGTCCTCTAAGCTATATTTTCTAAATTCCTGTCATAATATTATAAAATATCCTTTTAAAGGATTGTTCAGCAAGAGTGTAACAATTCAAAATGATAGAACTATATGGTACTAGTTGGCACAATTATTTTGTCATTATACAATTCCTTACCTTTATAACCATGGATCTTTATAGTAAAATCATGAACAGAGAGACTTAAAATCCTTTACTTCTATAATACGCACGCAAGATATACTACTAAATAGATAAATATTATGCTATCTATATAATTTTTATTCTTGTTGATCAGACATCATACGGCTTCCTAAACCTCCTCTCTCACCGCTCTGCAGTCAGCATCCTTCACCCGGTCACACACACACACACACACACACACACACACACACAGACACATACTATCACATTTTCATATATATCATGATACACCATTCAAATCAGCCAGACTAGACCTTTGAATGTGCCCTACCTATTCTATATTTCTTTTTCCCTTAATGGCCTTACCGTCACCTAGAATGCACTTTCTCCCATTCTTTTGCCAACTTAAATCTTTCCATTTCAAAGTTCATTGCTTCCAAGAAACATGGGATTCTTGACTAACTAAATCCATCACCCATCTTAACCTTACTTTGAATATTTTCATGAATTATATATACACGATATGTGCCACACCAATATGGCTTCTTTCTAAGTTGCCTCAGAAGGATTCTGGGTGCTCCAGGTGGGCATGTAACACCTGCCAAGTAAACTTTAGGCTCCTCAAGACCGGAAGCTATCTATGTAACTTCCTCTAATTCTGCATTCCATCTGGTACACGCTATGGTCAGAATAGGCACTGAAAGCTTTTTGAATAAGAGCTTGAGTAAATTTTTTAAAATAAATAACTGTTGTTTAAGACATTCGGCTGATCATCAAAGATATCTGAGGTATTAATTTTTAGCAATCCGTTTTTCCTTTAATCTCAGTGCATGGTTTTATACTTACTGGAACAGAAACTTGAGGGTTATCTGCAAGTTTTCCCAGCACAGCAAAGCCATCGACATCGATTGGGCCTCTTGGCTTTATTGGTAAGGATTCAATCCTGTTGCAGTCAACAAAAAGAGTAGCACTATTCCTTTCCACACCAATCATGATCTTATGCCACTGGGAATCAAACAAGGAGGGCAAATTTGAAAAGATTGCGGTTTGGAGACTTCCATCCAGTCCTTTGTATGAAAACGCAACGGATTTTTTTTGGCCATTAATCCTTATGCCAACTTGCTCCTTCCCTGAGGAATCCTGAATCTGCCAAATGTTCCAGTTCTTTTCAAGTGTGCTTCCAGTCATCCGAAAAGTAGTTAAAAAGGAGTATTCTTCAGGCAGTCCACTGGGATATAAATTCCTGAGTAAAAATTTAAAATAGTAAATATCACTCATGTTTTCTGTACCCCCATATATTTACCATATTCTCTTTTTATGTTAGATTCTCAACCCATGGAAAGGCTACAGTGTGAAAAACTATGTAGTATTTGTTCTTTCATGACTGTTAGTAAAGGCCTTCACAGAAGTTCAATCATTCCATCTTAAAATACACATTTTAAAAAACCCTCCCTCATAGCTAAGGAAGGTTCCCCATGCCACATAATCCCAACAATATTACTATTTATGATACCCAAAGAGCTACTGTTCAGCAATTTCATCTCTGCCAAAAAACACATTCTTGCAAACTTCTTGCCAACATTTCTTTCACAAGTGAGAGACGAAATCATTAGAAATCCAAATCAGCTCTACTAGTTTATGAAACTATTTAAAGCAGTCAACAGCAGCTTTTAATTTTTTATTTTAATGTTACATGTTAAGATTGTTTGTTATTTTCATAATTGCTCGGAAATTCCACTCCATAATTATATCCAAGGCGCACATAAGCCTTTTGAGAATCAGTAACTGTACAGATTTTAGAAGCTTCTTCACATTGAATATGTTTTGGGGGGATTTTTGTTTGTTTATCTGTTTGTTGAGATAGGGTCTCATTCTGTCACCTGGGTTAGAGTACAGTGACATCATCATAGCTCACTGCAATCTCAAACTCCTGGGCTCAAGCGACCCTCCTGGCTCAGCCTTCCAAGTAGCTGGGACTACAGGTGTGTGCCATCATGTCTGGCTAATTTTTTAATTTTTTGTAAAGACAGGGTCTCACTATGTTGCTCAGGCGGGGGATGTTTGTTTTTTTAAGGAGTTCAAAATACTATGTTAAAGTAGCAGCTTGTCACTGGATGTGTGAGAAGGGGAAGGTGACCAATTCTTATGTCTTTACTCCAACCCAGTTGTTCCTTAATCTGCAAACTGAGACTGTATCATTGCCAATTCCTTTACTGCTTTAAATGGCAGCATGAGACAGGTTGTGTCCCTAAGGCATCTCCAGTCTATATAAAGACCATAATCTGGAGCTGTACCAGCTACCTGGATCTTCTGTTGAAGCCAAGCTACTAGAAGCTGAAGACTGAACTTTAAAAATCAGGACATGTTAAATGTAAACATCATCTTTCAAGAACTTGAAGGTTTTATCCTACATTCCTCCTTCTAAGCATAGAAAACTTCCTAAGCAAGGAAGAAATGCTAGGCAAACTAGGTGTCATTGAATTTTCTGTGCTAAATAATAAAATTTGATATTTCTGAGAACAGTTATGGACCAGGATCCAGAGTCCCAAATAACTTTCCTTTAGGTCAAACTTTTGTTATGTATCCCTCTTCAATTTGCTAAAATTTTCTGCCTTTACTTTAACTATAAAACTTTATCTCTTATGATAGCATAAATAAATTTTAACTTTTTCTTAAATATTTTTGCAAACTTTCAATAAAATGGAACAACTACCTCAACAAATTGTATTGCTTTGTTAGTTTTATAAGGGTAATAAAAATGTGAAACTTTTCATCTGAGTACCCTTCCTTTTATCACCCAAGTCTTCCTTGTAGCCATTATTTTCTAATATTTTGGTTTGTATTTAGGGTACTGGGTGAATTTCTTTATCAATGAACATTTTTATATAATCATGGGTGATGTGTATTATTCTTATTGCAGAGTTTTCAATTCACCATGTATCTTTTATATAGGTCAAGTGTACAGGAGGTTTGAATATGTACCTTTAAAAATATTCAGTTCGGAACTAAAGAAGAAAAGTTTATGTAAGAACCATTTACTGTTTCCCATGTGGAACTGTCTAACACATCACCCCAGATATTTGTTTTTAATATATTTTCTTTTTGTCAATCTGTTTGTCATATTGTCTCTGACTTTATATTTTTTCAGAATTATACCTATTCCAGAATGACCCCTAGAGAAGATACTAAGGTTCACTAATGACAATATAATGTACTGCCTATTGTATAACTATAAAACCTTATGGAAGTTTATACATTTATACATTTCATTTAACTGACCTCAATAAATTTGAAGCTGGGATTTCGTGTATGTAATGCCAAAAACTAAAAAAAAAGAGGGTGGTTGGGGTTGCTGAATGAACATCTCATTTATAAATATATATTAAACCAAGGTCATCTGTCTCTTTCTCTCCACACAAATGAAGATAATCTATATGTGTGTGGGTATGTGTACAAATATAATTTATCATGTTATTTATTTTTCAAACTATGCTAGTACAGTAAGTCAATATGGTAAGAGGAAAAATTATTTTATTATTCGTATTAATAAAATATGTATGTATTTATATATACCTAAGACCATTTAAAAGTCTCACAAGTCTAATTTATAGAACAGCCAGCCCCATCGACTTCTTTTGAACACCTGAAATTTTGCTCTTGCAAATATGCTGTACTCATCGATAAGTAAACTTGACAGCATGCATAATTTAAAAGAAGCTGGGTCTATAAATGATTTATTTCATTATGTTACAATCTGCACAGAGCACCTTAAATGAAGAACCATAAGGATTTGAATAAAAGATTAAAAAGTCTTTGAGCCTTGGAATATTGTTTATGACCTTATCCCAAAGAAAGCTAAAGGCTGTGTTTTTAAGGCAAATAAACATAATCTGTTCGTTAGTGGGAGTTGAAAATGTGAAATTATTATGTCTAAAGAATAAAAAGCAACAAAAAATTACATGTCCCATAAGCTTTCAAAAAATTGAAAGGATAAATAAGGATAAATTATGACTCTTATCACGTTAATTCCATATACCATATTCTTCTTTTCCTCCCACAAAGATCCTGCTAATAGTTTCTTTTTGCTATCTCAGGGCCTGTATTCTCCAACACAGAAAATTCCTTTAAACCAAGATGGTCTACTCCCTGTATGGCTTGAGAGCAATTCCCATTTCTACCCTCCCTGTCACCTGGTGTTTGAATGAGGAGGCTTGGAGGACAGCTTGAAAAGGAAAGATCCACTAGGAGAAAATACTCTCATCTATATACACTCTCCTCTTCTAGTGCTTTCTACCACTAATGATAAACACTTACCTAACACCGCTAGGTACCAGGCTTGGTTCAAGCACTCTCCAGCTATTAACATTTACTGTACATAGCAACCTTATGACATAGTTCTTATTATCCCTGATTTTAATCTGAGGGAACTGAAACAAAGACAGTTTAAGTAACTTGCCCAAGAATAGATTTTACTGCCTATTTGGGACTCCACATATCTCAGCCCTCTGACTCTCCTCTTTCTCTTTTACTGTCTTTCTCTTATTTCCTTCTCCTAATTCTTTCCTCATCTCCTAATAAGCCTTGACAGTAAAGCAAGAGTTTTTAGTCTTTGTGGGGGCAGAGAGTCAAGGATATAATGAATACGAGACATTGGTTATAGCCAGGGTACATGATTTAGTGATAACTCTAGCATTTAGAGGAAAACAACAGTGACCACAAAGGTGAGCAGGAGGTAGGAGGGCTATGTGGCCTCAAGTTGATCAGTCTCTGAATTTAGAGTTAATGACAGTCCAGATTGTAATCTCAAATCATAGAATAGAAAATTAAGTCAGCCTTGGGGGTCTTGTGTTATGTTTAATTGTTTTATCAAAGAAAAAAAATTTAGAAGTTTAAGAGCACAACTGTACGTGAAAAGGAAATATAAGCAGAAAAAACACTCAGTGTAGCTATTATCATGCCAATAATCTTTCCAAATGTGAATGATTTTCTAGGGTCAGTATGGAGTAGTGGTTAGAAACACAACCTCTGAAACCAAGATGCCTGGGTTTCAATCCTCCCAGCATGTCCCAACTTTGTAAACTTATGCAAATAAACTAAACTTTTAGGGCTCAGTTTCCTTCCCATAATGTAAAGATAATAATGCCCCTATATCATAGGGTTGTGATGAGGATGAGATTAATATTAA